CCACCTGTGAGGTCATCACCTGCCCCGCCTCCATCAAGGAAGAAGCTCGAAAACCAGCTTGTCCATTTAACACACACACACACACACACACACACACACACACACACACACACACACTCTCTGTTAGCTGCACCTCAAACAGATGCAGACATGAAGAAGCTTCTGGTGTAACTGTGACTGCTCCTCTTGGCAGAATGAATTTAAAATGGTAAAAGGTCTGTATTTGTGTAGCTCTTTACTTAGTTCCTAAGGACCCCAAAGCACTTTACACATCCAGTCATCCACACATTCACACACTGGTGATGGCAGCTACATTGTAGCCACAGCTGGTGCGCACTGACAGAGGTTACTTTCCTGGTATGAACGCGTTCTTTGACCATCAGTCGTTTGACTCGTCCGTGTGGGCAGCTGCACATTTCAGTCGAGCTTGCAAGTGTTAATGCCAGAGCGGGGGCTTGTTCCTGGGTCAGCACCCTCTCGGTCCATGATGATGTAAAGCTTGTCCCTGAACATCCAAACCAGTTTCATCTCATCTGAGGGGGACAGTTTTGATCATCTTGGCATTGAAACATCAGAATAACTTGCATACAAACGTCCTGGAATCTGCAGCTGTTCAGAAACGACTCCTGAAGACCTTCCTAACTTGTGTAAATCTGCAGTCGTCCTTCTTAGACCTTCACAATGTTCTCTGGACTATCTCACTGTTCTGAGTGTTGGTCAGTCCCAGAAGTGCCGTCACACAAACCCTTTATAAGCTGTACCAGTTGCAGTCTGAGCTTTGTCCAGTTAAAATACTTGAGCACCGTTCATTGGTCTGTATACTGTACAGTCACTTCAGCCTCACATTTATGCTCCTGGATGGAAACTTCTGACACAAATATATTTTCTTCCTGATATTGTTACATTTAGAGTATTTTTTTTAATTTTTTTACCCTTTTATCTTTGTCATTATATTTTTATATAACTCATATCTGACCTCGTACACCTGCTGCTCTGATCGCTGCGTCTTTTTCTGGTCTCATTTACAGATGCTTTATCAGCTGATTTGCTGCTCTCTGCCCCGCCCACCTCGTCCTCCTCCCCTCTGGTGGAAAGGCTCCATCCCCCTCACACAGGTAAAGGTCATTTTCTGTAAAGTTGTGATGATGATGATGATGATGCTTGGATCGCTGTGTAGCGCCCTGTTCAGGTCCACTGAAGCCATAGCTGCCGTGATGTCACCTGCTGATTTCGAGATGCCGCCCTTTCACCATGACAGGGGGCGGATCTTAGTGTGAAACCAAAAGCTCATTGACTAATACTTTGTGATTGACAGACCGTTAGCCAATGAGCATGCCCCGGATAATCCTGACAAAACGCACGACTACAATTCTGAAATTAGTTACTGAACCACAAAGTCGTCAATGGTTTTTTCCCAGAACTGTCCGTGACATCGCCCTCTGCTGGCTGTTAGAGAGAATACAGCGTATTGTAACGACGCCATGCTTGTGCTTCAGGCTGTAAGAACAGATGTTTGTGTGCAGGTTCGGGAGGAGACGAAGAGTCGGTGAGCGTGCAGTGTCTGCAGATCGCCGCCGAGCTAAGGGCGACGGCGAGACGAGCTGTCCATCTTTACCAGAAGGTTTCTTCTTCACACATTTTTATTAGGATATCAACATTGATGTGAATAGTCACTTTTCTTTAAATCATATTTTTTTCTTCTTTTTTTTGTCGTTTTTCTGAATCGCTGAACGATGATCAAATTTAAAGCGTCACGCACGCGTTTGTGTTTGTTCGTTAGCGTCCGCCTCACGTTTTCTTTGTTTTTTGTGTTGCAGCTCGGCGCAACGCTCGCTGGCTCGCAGCGACGTCTCCAGGTGTCGTCAGCGATGCTGGAGGCGTTTGACGTAGTTCGCTCTGACATGCAGGAGGTGCTGCGGGAGTCGGGCGGCAGCGTCCCCTGCGGTCACCTGGAGGACCGCAGGACGGCGTCTCTGCTGGAGACGTACTCTGAGCGGCTGCTGCAGATGGTGGAGGAGAAAATGAAGCGTGTGTGAGCCGATGGCGGATTTGAAATCAGTATTAAACTGTGTGCACCTTATGTCTGTGTGTGTCCGAGTGTGAATCACAGTCACTGTCTGTAAATACTTCATGTTTCCTAATAAACGCTGTTTTTACTTTAACTGTGGCCACTGTTTCAATCCAACGTGAATATGAAACTTTATTCATACAGAACCTTGTACAAACAGGTCAGAAATGAACATGAAGGCAAAAGGATGTGAAGATTAATACCATCACATCAAAAAACCATGAGAGTGAGGCGGCCGGTGGGGGGGGGGCGATGCAGCCAGGAGACCTCAGTGCCGCAGAAAACCTTAGACTCATTCAGAGTGGGCAGGAAGTGGGCGCTGCCTACCAGAGCGCTCTGGTGCTGAGGCCAGAGCTCATCGTCAGTTCTCTGGATTCAGCATGGTTGATGTGAGCACGGCCACTGCAGCAGACTCCTCCTACTACCTGAACTTTCTGCACGTGCAGCCCCAGGCTACCCTGAGACCAGGTGGGACTGAGTCACAGAGCAGAAGCTGGCTGCAGTGACGTAAAACTTTAAAAGCCTTAGAAAAGGGTGCTGACGTCATATCGAGGGGGACTAAAAACACACCGGTAGGGCATGTTTGTAGTTCCTTAAGAGCAGAGCGGGCGGTGATTGGCCGAGAGCCACAGAGACGGGCACGCGCCTCCGCCCCGCCCCCAGCAGAGTGAGAAAAGCCCCAAAAGTTAACGACGACAACAAAACAAACCACAGAAGAAGAGGAGTAAACAACAACTGGAGTGAGCAACATGGCGGCGGTGAGAGTAGCCGGGGTTTCAGAGCGGCGCTGCCTGGAACTTCAGGCCGCTCTGTGAGCCTCTGCCCGCGGCATGAAGCTCTCCGGGCTGCCGGCATCATGGCCGTTGTGACAGCCAACGCCCGCAGAGTCGTGACGGATCCTGCCGGAGTGTCCCCGCGGGGGAGCCGGTCTCCGGCACCGGGAGCCGGCGGGAGATCCAAGGAGTCCTGGAAGGGACACATCATCCGAGAGCTGAAGCACCGAGACCTGAGCCAGCACGCCATGTTCCAGGACCTGATCCGCTTCTGTACGACGACCAAGTACAACTTTTATCCCCTTTAAATCCATCACAGGCGGTCTGAGAGCAGCAATCACCGGGCCGAACATTTAAAAACCCAATAATTTAGTGTTCAGAGTTACAGTGAGGTTTTACAGGCTGACGCTGAGAAACTACTGCACGAAGAAAGACGCTGATCATTTTTGAGTGAGGTTTGGTTCAGAGAAATCAGGGCTTTGTATTGGGGAACCAAGAGGTTTTCATCAAAGGGCAGCAAAAGTAAATATGTTTAAACCAGAACTAACGTCCTAATCAGCCTGTTTAACACTACTCAGGAAATGTCACAGGAGCTGCTTTACACAGGGACAAAAGAGATGTTTTTTTAATAGAGTTTGGTGTAGAGCTGCCCTATGTATTATCTCATCCAGGTAACTTCAGGGCTAACTCTACTCATCGCCATGGTAACATATACTGTGAGAGCAGACCAGGGTTACAGCAGCTTCATGACTGCTTGTCCCCACTGCCAGCGATGGGATGAGTGAATGCAGATAACAGGGAGGGAAAGGTGAGCTTAACCAAACCTGAGACTGCAGTCGGCATTCGTCACCACAGCTCAAAGAACATTTTATACGTTCAATAATCAGCATTTTTAACACTTTCTTAAAACCAGGCTGAGATTCAGGCTTGTTGATCACGACAACTACACGTTGGTTCAGTTGGACTCTCAGTTACTATGTTTTATATATTTATATTTTTCAGTTATAGCAGCTCTGAAACCAAAAATGGAATTTGCAGAAGTTTGATGAGAGTCGTCCAACCTGTCCCACCAGTCAGACATCCAGTCTAATCCAGTTCACCCTCCTGTAAAATCAGATTGTTTTTGAATGGAGTCTGGTTCATTTTATATTTTTATTGTGCTGAGTAGATCATTAACCCCTCTGCTCAGTGTTTTGAACCTCGCCGACATCCACCCTCCTTTCATACTTTGCTGACATTCAGGGACAGGAAGTTGTCGGAACTATTAAACCACACGTCGCCTCACTTCCTCTGCACAGTGAGTCACAGTGACAGATAACCAGCCTGCTGCTGGTTTATCATCAGGCCGCAGAATGAATGTTAAACATGACAGATTTTGAATGGAGTTTGGCTTCAGTCAATGAAAGCTGGGAAACATAATAAAATTAAGTCATAGTAGAGGAAAAATATCTCAGTGAAAACACGTTGTCCTGCTTTTTTGGTCCTAGCTGTCAGTCAGGTGCTCATCAGGTACAAACCTGGAGCACCTGGTTCCTGCTCCGCCTCCTCTGACCCCCCTTTCTGTCTGCAGACACTCAGCTGCTGGAGAAAACCAGTCTGACCAAAAGACTGCTGAGCAGCGCCGCCAGGTAACTCACCGTGCTTGTACATGTTCAGACATCTTTGTGAGGACAGAACATTGGCACGCTACTATACTACAGTAGTCAGTGGCTGGGATGAGTGAGGTGTCCTCACTAAGATATGAAAACGAGTGTGTGTGTGCTGAGGCTGTTTGTTTTGTGTGTGCAGGCGTCCCCCTGCGGGCGGCGCCCCGCTCTCGTCCCTGCTGCAGCAGAGCATCCAGCTGAAGAAGACCACGGGAGAGGTCAGAGCAAACCTGCCCCCCTTTCAGAGTGATCACATGATCAGTTAGGGTGACTCAGCCCGCAAAGTCAGCAGTGCTTGCAAAGGTCAGAGGTCATCTGGTGGCCTTCAGGTAGAACGCAGGTTTTTGGGTATTAACCTGTCGTTTTTCCCAACCTGGAAACTGCAGTTCCTCTGACGGCCAGCAGAGGCAGCAGTGAGGTAGTCCCCATAGACGTGTTCACAGCCTCAACTCCAACTGTTTGGTCTCTGTAGCCTCCTTCATAGCACCTGTATGAGGACTGTAAGAGCCAAAGTCAATGTTTATGTTCTGTTTATTTGTTATGGTGGCACAGGTGTTTAGATTGTCCTGCACCTCAGGTGATTGCATGTTGTTTACCTGATGCCAGTGTTCGCAACAGCGTCGTTGGGTGAGTGGTTTGTGGGCAAACCTTTCCGTTGACCGTCATTATAGCACATCAGTTGGTACATGCACTATTTGTTTTGATTGAAAGCACAAAGTTTGTTGTTTTGTTTTAAAATAAATACGCGAAATATAAGTGGGATGATTGGAGACGCGTCACAGCACAAAAAACAAGGATTTGTGGATGTACGTGTTGGAGTCACGGAGCTTTCAGATGGTCAGACGCTGTTCTCAGATGAGTTATTTATTTCTGTAACTCGCCTGTTATGGAATAAAGGGGCGTGGCCTATTTGACTGGCAAGTGGATGGTGACGCAGGTGTCTGTAGCTGGAGCTCTGGACCATGTTTGTGCTGCTGTGAGGTTACTGCACTAACAGGCCGTCTGAGAAGGCGGAGACACAGGATTTTGATTGGATGTCACTGAGCACTTAGCAGAACGGCTGTGCAGGTTTCACAGCAGGAACCTTTAACAGATCCACGATCGGGGGTTTCAGTTCTCGTCAATTCGATGAAGATTTGTGTTCTGCTCATGAGCAGCAGCAGGTGTTGTTGTTGTGATGAACAGCTGTTCACCTGCTTCTGTGGTCACGCTCAGAGCTCTTTCAGCTCGTTCCTGGCGGGTTGGCTCGTGTTTTTCTTTGAGGCCGTGTGATAAAACACAGCAGACTGTAACCGAGCAACAGCAGCCACTTCTTGTGATAAAGCCGACGAGCAGATGTGATCGGTGTGATAAAAGTGAGAGGAACAGGCAGCCCGAGGGCGGTCAGACCACTTCACCCTGAGCTGCTCCACAAGCTTCGGCCTGCAGGCTGACGATCCACAACAAACGCTCTGAGACCAGGAAGAGACAAGTTCATGAGGGGAGACCTGTCGCTATCGAGAAGGGTCTGGCTGCGGTCCGGCAAGATGGCTGTCGGGGCAGGCAACTTCTTTTAAGCCGGTGTGCACTAATCCCGGTGGAGCTGTTTAGACTCTACTTTTGAATACCAAGTAGGTTGCTGTTTTTGCCGATAGCTTTAAGGACTAGATTCACCTCTTAAAACCTTTTGAACGGACCCAACCTGCCATTTAAAGAAGATGACGCAGGAAAAAGCAGAAGCTTCAGCTAAGCCAGCGGTAGCCTCCAGGAGCTCCGCACCCACTGACCACGAATATGCAATGGAGACTTCAACACCGTCAGTCAAAAGAGAAACTCCCCCTACGCCCACCAAAGCACCCACACCACCTAACAAGGGTACTGTGTCCCAACAACTCCATAATAGAAGCCATTAACAAGCTAACAAACAAGATCGATGACTTCGGCGTGCAGCTAAGTAACAGCATGATAATGGTGGCTAACATTGCCAAGCTGGCTGAAATGAACGCAGCCGATATAAAAGACTGTAAGGCTAAACTGTCTGCTTTGGAAAAAGACATTCCTGCTCTAAACAAAGAAAACGCAGAGCTGAAAGAGAGGATGTTGGAGCTAGAACGATACATGCGTCGCTGGAACTTGAAAATCCAGTTGTTTTTCGGGCTTCCTCACTGGGCGACGCTGTGGACACCGTCCATCGTCTAGGGAAAAAAGAAGCAGGTAGACATCGACAAATAATAGTTCAGTAAATAGTTCAAATTCCATCTCACATCTGTTCTCCGGTGATCAAAAGAAAGAGATCAGAAAAAATTACCTAAAACTTCCGATTCCTCCCAAAGCTGAGGAGGTCCACTACAACATCCTCTCTGGTATTTACCCTTCCAGAGAATCTCTCAGACGTCGCTTTGCTATTGATAATGATTCTTGCTCTTTCTGTGATGGGGATATTGAATCAACAGAACATTATTTTATGATTGTATATTCTGTAAAGCCTGTGGAACGATGTGCACGACTGGCTCTTCCCAAAGATTCCAAACTTACTTGAATTTTCTAAAAATGATTTTATCTTTGGTTCTCTAAGAAAAGAAGCTTGAAAATGTTCTAAATGTGATAATTATTATGGGCAAATTCTTCATTCACAAATGTTGTTTTCTGAAAACAAAGAACTCGTCCTCTCAAAAACACAACACAAGCTCTGCATCTGAATCATATGATTATTGAACTCTGCTAGAAAACCCCTGAGGTATCATGTCTTTTATGTCTTTTAATTATCCTTTTTTTTTTTGCTTTGATTCTGTTTGGGGTTTGTTTTTATTTTATTTATTTATTTGTTGTTGTTTGTACTTCCTGTTCATTATCTATCTTATATATGTTGGAGTTCAGCCTGTTCTGATACTGTTTCATGTTGGAAATATGCCATAATTGTTGTACATTATATTTCTGTGTGATTAATAAAATTAAAAAAAAA